TACCTAGTATCTACTACTTGTACTAAATGTTTTTTATTCTCTGTTAAATATCTAAACATTGGATGACTGGACAAACCCCTGTAGCTTGAGCATTGCACTGTTGTACACAGTTTGTGCAGGTAATGTGTGTTTGTGTACAATCAATAGCCATATTGATGATAAGGTCGAGCTCAAGTGAGAAAACTGAAACTGGATGCTGCTCAGATGGCCTTGTGAGTGGTTATCTCCAGAGATTATTAAGCTCCAGGGGAAATGACTAGCTTGTCTTAGTAAAGGGCTGAGGTCAGGCCTGGTGTGTCCCCTCGCAGGCGCAGGGCTTCTTATCCCTGTGTAGCCTCTGTCAATATGACAGCTGGAGCTAACTACTCTGTACATTAGGTTTAGTGGTTGAAACACTTCAGCACAGCTGTATTTGCTGGGGAAAAAAGTTATTTGCCTGATACAATTTGTTATTGCAAAATCCCCTTGATCCCCTTTCCAAAAAAAAAGGATAAATAAACAAATAAAATGTATACATACACAAACAAATAAATAAATAAATAAATAAACAAACACATAAATAAAATAAGGTTTGTTAAGTTTGTTTGTAGGACTACATAATTTGGCCACAAGTTTGTGACTGTATATCAAATTGGCTATAATAATAATAATAATAATAATTTGCTTAATAAAAATATAAAGTAAACAAAAAAATAAATATTACAATAGTGTGTGTGTGTGTGTGTGTGTGCTTATCCCTGTGTAGCCTCTGTCAATATGACAGCTGGAGCTAACTACTCTGTACATTAGGTTTAGTGGTTGAAACACTTCAGCACAGCTGTATTTGCTGGGGAAAAAAGTTATTTGCCTGATACAATTTGTTATTGCAAAATCCCCTTGATCCCCTTTCCAAAAAAAAAGGATAAATAAACAAATAAAATGTATACATACACAAACAAATAAATAAATAAATAAATAAACAAACACATAAATAAAATAAGGTTTGTTAAGTTTGTTTGTAGGACTACATAATTTGGCCACAAGTTTGTGACTGTATATCAAATTGGCTATAATAATAATAATAATAATAATAATAATTTGCTTAATAAAAATATAAAGTAAACAAAAAAATAAATATTACAATAGTGTGTGTGTGTGTGCATGATGTGTATATATATATATATATATATATATATATATGGGAAACGTAATATAATAATTTATTCTACAATACAACAGTGAAATGACAATACTATAATCTATGGCTGTATTTATTTCTTCATTTTCAAATGTTAAAGTGTTGAATTTTTAGCATATTCCCTGTCACACACATACTCAGCCAGAAACTAATAATAATTGTTATCATTATTATTATCATTACTAAATAAAATTATAAGCTGAACTAAAAAAAAGAACTAAATATTACAATATTATGTTGTATGTATTATATGTATATAATAATATTTTTATTGTAATATTTCACTTAAAATGAGTATTTAAGAAAAATAATATGATAATATTGTATTGAATACTAATATTTATGGCCATCTTAGTTTTCAAACATTAAACCACCCAAATGTATTTTAATGGAAAACAGCAGGGAGCCCTTAAAGATTCTTTTTTGTTGATAAGTGCTTCTCATTACAAGTATGGGAAGATGTTTGGAGCATTTTGCGTTCACAAAGAGTCCGTGCCATGCTATAAAACATGCAGTGCATATATTTATTTAATTAAATTGCAGCCTTTGTGTTTTGATAATTGCACTAAGCCATATCACGTTTTCGGTTTTATTTTCGATTAATTGTGCAGCTGTATCACAGTTAGAAGACCATGGTGAGTGCCACTGATCAGAATTTTCAATATTTGTTTACAGTAAATTATGAAATAAGCATCAATTAGTGACTTTTTTTCTGTTTTCTTATCGAACAAATCTAGTTCCAAAACAATAGGTCCTCTTGCCAGCATGACCCAGCTAAAAAATATGGAAGCTACGCACAGCCTTTGTGTTTTGATAATTGCACTAAGCCATATCACGTTTTCGGTTTTATTTTCGATTAATTGTGCAGCTGTATCACAGTTAGAAGACCATGGTGAGTGCCACTGATCAGAATTTTCAATATTTGTTTACAGTAAATTATGAAATAAGCATCAATTTGTGACTTTTTTTCTGTTTTCTTATCGAACAAATCTAGTTCCAAAACAATAGGTCCTCTTGCCAGCATGACCCAGCTAAAAAATATGGAAGCTACGCAATAACAAACACTTATTACCATGGGACAAGCATCTTTTCTTTCACACGCACGTGCACAGCCAGAAATAATAAATAAGTATAATAATAATAATAATAATAAAGGCTAAAACCCTGCCACAAGAATAAACAAACAGCATTAAGGAGTTTCTCCCCATCTGGTTCGTCCAAAGCCATACAAATACAGACTCACTCGAAGCTTTGAGAGAAAATTGTCTTTCTTTCTCACACTTGCTCTCACGCGGGGGACAGGAGCCACACACATACACTCGCACACCCAAAAGCGAGCTGCACGGCAGGCTGTAATCAGTGGCTCTATGACAGTGGGGGGAGGCAGGCTGGTGGGGGAGACAGAGGGACAGGAGTGATAACAGATTGAGCGACTCTGATAAACTCTCCTTTAATGGCTCTGCCTGTCCCCCCTCGCCTCTTTTTTTCTCCAGCACCTATTTAGTGGAGTCTTTCTCTGCTGCAGGGATTAGGCTGCTGGATAAGGGCAAGTAAACATGGGCTGCTTCTCTGAGCAAGCAATGGAGAGACAGAGACAGGGAGAGATAGAGAGAGGGGAAGAAAGGGAAGGGAGGAGAGGAGAGGGAGAGGGAGGGAAAGTGAGAATGCTAGAAAGAACGAGAGTTTGGTGAGAGGTAAAGAAGCAGAGCAGGAGAGCAGGAAGAGGATTTTCTAGTGGATGAAATCAGTCACAGCAAAAGAGAGCGCGGCTAAGAGGAAATTGGAGTCGGGGATTTTCACCTAACTAATGTTTTCTGCAGAAATCACTTTGTTACATGATGATTTTTTTTTCTTCATTTTTCCATTTGTGACCCTGGACCACAAAACCAGTCATAAGGGTCAATTTTTCGAAATTGAGATTTATACATCATCTGAAAGCTGAATACATAAGCTTTCCATTGATGTATTAATGTATGTAGGACACTATTTGGCCGAGATACAACTATTTGAAAATCTGGAATCTGAGGGAGCAAAAAAAATCTAAATATTAAGAAAATCGCCTTTAAAGTTGTACAAATGAAGTTCTTAGCAATGCATATTACAAATCAAAAATTTTGTTTTGATATATTTACAGTAGGAAATTTACAAAATATCTTCATGGAACATGATCTTTACATAATATCCTAATGATTTTTGGCATAAAAGAAAAATCAATAATTTTGACCCATTCAATGTATTTTTGGCTATTGCTACAAATATACCCCAGCGACTTAAGACTGCTTTTGTGGTCCAGGGTCACATTTGTTTGGGGTATTTTGGAGCTATTCGGAAGTGTTGCCATATCTCCATTGGGAATATAGTTAATGCAATTCCCGGTGGTGTCAAAAAGGAACCTAATTCTGTGGGTTTAGCACTGGGGCACGACACACAAACACAAACACACACAAACTCGCATGCAGACAGCAATGCAAACACGGATTACTGTGATGTCTTAATCACGGTGTGGCAGGCAGGCAGACAGACAGGTCGCGTCGTCTTTGTTGAGTTCCTAGAAAAGCATTTCAAGTACAGGATACACTGATGACACTTTTGAAGGGGTGAGATAAAGATAGCAAACTGATGGCAACTGCTTGAATCATTTAGTAATTAAAGACAACACTATTACCCTTATTGCATTTTATAGTCACAATAGTAACCACACAAAAAACAAACTTTGATTGTTGATTATGGAATTGCTGTGGAATAAATTGCAGAGTTATTAGAACGTACAGAATTAAGCAGATCCTGAATGGCTGGACTATAAACGGCTTTGAACTGGGCTAATCATGATATCTATTAGATAAGCTTTTAATCAGCCACCTGCCTAATTGCATAATCAAATCAGCAACCTCTCTAAAAGAAGGTGATGCATGGATAGCAGTCTGGTGCTCTTTCTAAATCTTCGCTTTCCGAAGGTCAATGTAAACCAAAAATGCATCATCTGAGACCTGTCAAGTAAGCCACATGCTGGTCTGCAAATCACAACACTTACACATGGATTCATCCATACATGTGTTTACATCAGCAACTGTATCTTTAGGGCAAAGTGGTAATGGCATGTTGTTAATATGATTTATTTGTCTCTGTCTTCTGTTAGGCTAATAATATCTGATATTAAAATACACCCTTTTTTATTCTCAAATAAATAAATAAATAAATTCTGGTTACACCTAAAGATTTAATAAGTGTTTCTATTTTTCTGCTTTATTTTTAATGTACGAGCAGGTACAACTGCACTGGTTTGTAGCACAAATAGTTTTACTATTTACTGCGCTTACTGTTATACTTCATGTTATTTTCCTGTAGCAGCTAATACATCGCAAGTTGCACATTGTCTTGCTTCCGTGTTGCATAACTTAATTTATGTAATTATTGCTAAAGCAATGCAGAATAAGGCCACATTTATTGTGCAATATATACAGTATAACCATAGTAGCATGGTCCACCACTACAGTGAAATATTTCAAGTGTATATAAAATATCCATACATTATACAGTACATATAAGCATAGAGAGAAAAATGTTTGGGTAGTCAGTGTTGTGGGATAAAAATGACTTAAAAATGACTAGAATAAAGATTTTAGGACTAGGAATGCACTTGATTATGCTGTATACTGATGACTGTATTGTGCGTCCAATACGATATTCAGGATTTGTCTCTCAGTGAACACAGTGCTGCATCAAGCTGCAATCAGCCCTCTTCAGCTGAGTCTGATTGTGGTCAGCTGCCATGAGTAGGCCTTAAACAAACACCTTGTGTGCTGTCATTGTTGGCCTGTGCGTTTCAGCACGAGGCTGGGCCACCACAGCCAAGTGTTTCAATTCCTGAAGAGCTTCCAGAAGAAATTAGTATGTAATGACCGCACTCTGCAAGAAGAAAGGCCCATTATGGCTCTCGCTGACTGTACTTGGCTTTCATTTGCAAGCTAAATGGATGCGCGCGAAGGTGAGAGTTCACTAGCCATTCAAGTATTTGGCTTTAACAGGCTCCAGCACTCTTGCTTTAATTCAAGCAGAAGGACAAGTATGAATAATCGCTCTAGATAAGACTCATCAAAACACGGTTCCAGCGCCTGCCTGCCTTTTTTTTAAACCCCCTAGCCTCTTTCTCGTCTCCCTCCTCCGCATCCAAATGGACAGCGAAGCCAGGTGACAAAATGCACTTCACGTTGTGTCTTTTAATTTGTTAGCTGTTTGCTGTTGTTAACAGAACCCAGTATGATTTTGATGGACTTTTCTGAATATTGAAGTTTAGCTGTAGTTGTGCAGTGATTTTGGTAGAAAACGCAATAGCCCCTATAAATGTAATGCGATTGTTACCTGATGCTAATACATGAGTGGCGTTCCTCCCTCCTCCATCAGACAGCCCACACTCCCTGTAGCATATATAGCCCTCCTAAATGATGTGTGTGTGTGGCCAATTTGTAGAGAATGACTGTGTAAGAGATGTCTCTTTGTTAGCCCATAATAACCAAGGACGGAATGTTTTATTTAGATACATGAGGGTGCACAGCCAAAAGCGCTAATTCGTGGCCCCGAGGGTGTTCATTTCACGTAATGTATGCACAGGCTAATTTATAACACTGTGACTAATTTCCATTTCTTGTGCTTGGAGTTGCCTTGCTAATTACGGGATTTTTTTCTTTGGTCATTTTTTCTCGACTCTTCTTTCATAATTACAGCTCAGCATTCAGGGAAGGAACTGTTGCAAATGAGATGGGCCTCGCCGTGTTGGGTGACTGATGCACTCCTACGTCCAGGTGAGCCCAAATCCCTGACAAGAGCCGCCGTTTCACCCCCATCTGCTACAGTCGCCGCTCTTGCCGCACATCTTTGATGTGAGCTGTCCTCGCCTGTGCGACTATACCTTATCCTGTTTCCCAATGATCAGATAGAACCGCCTGTAATTAGCTGGGCGACTTTAATTAGGAAAAAGTTAACTGTTACATGAAAGCTGCCACATCTGTGATCCTACTGCTGCCTTGGCGTCAGGCTCCCAGGGGGTCCCCATCAAAGGGCTCCCTCCCGCTGCGCAGCCCCACTCTAGCATGCTCTTCTCTGCCAAATCAGGCCTGCCGATGCCAAGTGACAGAGGCGAGCGAAGATGCAGACATGAGTTAACTGTGCAAAACAAAAACTGAAAAAAAAGAGGAGGACCAAACGCATCACTTCGGTCTTCCTTGTCTCTCGTTAGGCGAGGAACACGAGGCCGACACAAAAGGATCTGAGGCCAAACAATGTCACTTAACAAGACATCACTGGCTCATCATTAGCAATTTGCCAGGGCATAATTTGTTCCTCCCCTCACATAATAGGTATCTAGGGATGTTGTGAACGGCCTTCCGCTTGTTTCGCTGTTTATTTTTCTTGGCCCGAGTCTCAGAAGCAAACTTGCCACCTATGGCGATGAGCAGGACGGTGCTGTTGTGATTTTCGTTTCACAGTTCCAGTAAGACCTCCTTTAATTAACTCCCAGGCTCATCCTCCTTCATTTAGGTATCTATTTATCTGTTTTACTTGAGACAACAAGCGACTGTCAGGCACGTCACTTGAAAGCACGGAATGCCCGCCAAAGGAAGATTAAAAGCACCGAAAACTTAGGGATGTCTGCTGTTATGATTTCAGATGTGGAAGGCATTTTTGTTTTTGAAACCTATTACCCCTTGGGAGGAATTACAGAGGCTGCGAGATGCTGCATGCCCTTTTTCTTTTGCTTTCCACGCCTGCTTCGTTCTCTCTGCCCTCGTCTCCCTGTCTCCCAGCCATTTTCAAGAACAGCTGCATTCTGCTATAGTCGTATTAAATATGCTTAAATGGCTTGACGTGTATCACTGCCATTAATCAGAAAGCGAAAGGCTTTTAATTTCATTGTGCTTGCATCCTGTTTTCCCCACAGATGGTACAGACAGGGCTCTAGAAACCAGCTCGCGCTCTGTCTGCCTGTCCCATCGCTTCCTATTCTGTGGGCCTTTTGTCATCAGCAGACATTGAGCTGCCATTTATATTCAACGGACACATGCACTGAGGAAAAAGCCATGCCAACTCATAACAACAATAACATGATGCGTAAACACAAATACATCACACGTCTTGACAAGTGCGCTTCAGATGTCAATCACTCTGAGAGGAGCTCAGGGCTTTACTCCTCACTTGCCATTAGCAGCGCTTAGCATGCTAATTAAGCCTTGCGTACAATCTAAGATGCCACCCCATGTATTTTTGTTTTCAGCTGGGAATGTTTAAGCCTTCGGTTTTTGCCGTCCAAGGCCTCAAAAATCCAAGAGTTGTCTTCAGAAATGCAACGGTAGTGGTACTACATTATATCAGCAACCCAGTCAATTTCAGACCAATTGAAATTTCCTACCCGTCTACCTCTCATCGGAACTCAAACCTGCATTAATTTGTCAAGCTTAACAACGGTAGCATAAATTGCTAAGTCCTTCATTGTTGAGTGTGTTAAATGTACAGACATGCACCGTGTAGCACTGACATAGCGCCTCTCCGCTGGCGCAGTGAATGAGGAGATTGTGAAATCGATTTCCACATTGTATTTCACACCCTTTCATCAGGCATGGTTCCGCTGCCTGGAAAGCTCACAATTTCAAAAGCACTTAACATACTCTAGCCCTTTTGTTCAAGCGGCACACTACTTCTGTTGAGACAGCAGTGCGAATAAAACCAAATATCAGCGTGGCTGTGACTTGAACTGAAGAACAACCAAATTAGTCCTAGTTAATGTATCTTCATTACTGTTTTCCTTCACCGGCACCAAAAGAATCTGACGCGCTAATGATTGCGCGGCATTAAAGCGACAGCGTCTTCTGTCACTTTGACTGTGAAACGCAAAAGCAGATTATTACAGAGATTTCTTACATTCCCTGCTGTGAACACCAGAATGACACTTAACATATAATGATGTTTATTACCACGCTCATTAGCACGGCTGTGTCTCTTCCGCAGAAATAATACTCCTCTTCATGGGAGCCAAACAGATTTAAAATTGCAGCAGAAGAGAAGCAGGCAGTTATTTAGAGAAAAAAATATTGAACACAGAGAACGGGCTGTCTGTTTGGTCCTGATTAGAATGCATACTTTAGGAAATGCCACGTACAGTTAGAGAGGAGAATGCTGCGTTTCAGTTTTTACATTGTGGTAAGTGTGAATGTATCATCATCATGTTTCCATTTTCAATACAGCTTTAAATGATACTGACACCTTTAAAACAACGGCGTTCGCTTATTTTTATGTCAAGGTGAGACTGCAGAAACAGGACAGGAAGACATTCTATTACAACTGCACCACTACTTAAATACAGAGCAGAAATTGTTACCATGGCTCATCAGTATAAGCAGTGACAGGACAGAAAGTGCATGCATAATAATGATAATAATACGTTTTAATTTAATACTGAATGCAACGCACTTTTGTCTTATGATAAGAAACTAAAACAATGCTTGTAATAGTCCCTGCATGACCTGGAAACATTCCTGAGAGAACAAACTCATCTTGTTCTCTCAAATTTTCTAAACTGAACCGAAACTGAATTTGTATAAGGGGCCAGTGTTAAAGTGTTGACCGTGATTAATAGCAGAGGAGACATTGCTGTAGTACTGTTTGTGCAAAAACAATACCGTTAAGTTAATCTCTTTCAACAAGTGTTACAACCATCTTCTAAAAAAAAAATAAAATAAAATAAAAAAGGTTACAGGGAAATTTGTGGTAGAAATCTACTTCCTTTTAAAGTCACAACAGTTATTTGCTGCACTTTGTGGCAGGGTGTACAGTAGACATATGGCAGTACCTAAATGATTCTTTGTCGACACAGACATAAGAAAGTACTGATTGTGCTGTCAGTGTTAATCCGACAGCAGAGGGAAGCAGTCATTTATCTAATGACACAGTTTTCCGTGTGAATGATCAATGCCTAATGAAGAGAGGGGAAATGATGGCACTGCAAAGTACTGCTCCTTTATCAGAAACAAAACCTTTTTCAGTGGGACTTGTTCTTGCTTTGTCCATAATACTGTCAAGAATTAAAGAATAAACAATAGCTTTTGTCATGCCATACCTCTATAGTCACATTGTAGTTCATTTAATACTGCGTGATAGGGACCGTTTTTCTAATGGTTAAAAGTAATGGATTGGTTAAACTGAGGACATTTGTCCTGTTTAAAATTGGTCCTCTTTGTTTCAGTTTCAGACACTTAGAGGTGTCATTCACACGGTGCATTGGAGTTCATCCTTTTCCCCCATCTCTCTTTTAATCGTTAATCTGTGCAAAATGACAGAAGACATTTTGAAACAGCTTAAATTGTTAAAGAGGCACAGAACATTAAGTGGTTCAGATACAGCTGTTAATAGAGAGCCGGACAGTGAATAGACAGGCACCTCTTTCAGCACTCTCCAGAACATTTAGTTTAACTCTCAATGTACTTCTGCGTGTGTCTCTGAGGTCAATTTATCTCTGCTCGGCTCTCTTGATAGGACTGAATAATACAGGAGAGAGAGGGCACTGGCACATACCTGGAGTGACCTCTGTTTGCTTCATATCTCCAAGTGCTGGAACTAGTTCTTTTCTTAAGATTGGGCATAATGGAAGAATTTGTCGTGGTTTTGTTGCTGTTGGGCTGCAGCTGATGTCACTGTAAATTGGATGTGCTCATAAATAGATTGGTACAAAGGGAGCATTTGAAGACTGGTGACCATGCGAGGTCTGACTGAGGTGCCTCCTACACAAGCGCATATAGATTTGCTCTACCTGACTGCTGCAATTCACCTATTAGTGAGCAGGCTTTTCAGTGCTTTAGACTGACTGAATGCAGTATTGTTAAAATAAGTATATGTACTGGACATTAGATCAGTAACGTTACACAGAATACAGATTTGATTTATCAATGCCACTGCAACATTCTAAAGCTGAAAAATGTACTGGTGTGTGGTGAAAACCATGTCATCATCAAAAACCGTTATCGTGATTTTATAGAGATCAGCGAAAATAATCGCTGGCTGTATCTAAATGCTTGCATTTCACAGTTGATCGAAGTGATGAAAACTTGTCTACCTCAATCCGATCTTTTGAAATCATGAATAGAGAATCAAATTGAAATAGGACTCATATCAGAATCTGTCTTAACTAAGTCTAGGGATTCATGCATTTTGACAGGGTATTTCAATTGCACTGTCTGAAAGAGATGTTGAAGGACAAAAAAAGACAGGAAACTTTGACAAATATCATTCTTAACATCCAAATGGCCTCTATTGTCATTACGGACGGTGAGATTAGGTTCACCTCATCAGACATGAGTATGACAGGTGACTCAATAGGTTGATGCCAAGCCGCGAGCAGAGGAGATTAGCAGGGCACTGATATCATTATTTGCAGCTATCGGGGATTCAGCAGGGAGGCAATTGTAATTTCTAGGCTTATTAGTCCACACTCTGTGCAGGAGAAAAGCCTGTTGATAAAGCTTGCCGCTGACAGCCCAGCATTTCGCCACCAAGTGCTGTCACCGTGACACTTACCAAATGCCAGCAAGCTAGCAGCCTTGTAATCCTGCCTAATAGAGGTTAAAACAGACCACTGAGAGGTGCTCGTTGATGATCAAAACAAATGGCACTATTTGAATTTGGATCTTCCGAATGGTTCACGGACCAGGGAACAGGTTTGGTTGACGACTTGTGTCACAAACGCACACGAATCCTTCCTGTCGAAAAGAAATTGTCAATCATTAACATTCCATTCACTTGTAAAACATTCATATTAAAGTAGTTGCTCACCCATGTTTACCACACAATTAGTTTTTTGTCTTAAACTTGTCGGCTTTGATGAAGTCTCTTGCGAAAGCTGCTTCCTATGCTATCCTGTTCTGACATCTGTCTCTCAAACAGTGTCTTGTGCCCACAGTGGCCCTGAGGGGCCTTCTGTCGGTGCGGTTCTAAGCCTAGAGCTCTTTGGCAAGTCTAATTAATATTCCTCGCTGCTTCTTCGTTAAGCTCATTAATGTTTGTGCATGTCCGTTTCTTGCGCGCGATGTAAACAAGCCTGGAAATGAAGGCCCTTTTGGAGACCGCAACAGTCACCACCTCCGTGAAACAACTTCAGAGCGACGAGACTTAGATGAACGATGAGAGAGGAAGAGGCACCTGAATCCTCCGTTGGCCAGATTTGCACATCTAAATGCAGGCATGAATTGAAATGTTGTCCTGGAGGAACGGAGATGTGTGGGACTGTATTTGGCTGCCAGTGCCCCTCATTACTCTTCATTTGTAGATCAAACAACAGCTTAGCGTCTCACCGTCTCTGACAGCTTAATCTGGCTCTATCGGGAGACGAGGAAAAGCGACAATGGTGTTTGCATGTTTTGGAGGCAGTTCTCAATTATTTTTACATGCATGTTGTACGATAACCATCACATATCAGGGACATGTGGTTGTCGTTTTATTAGTGATGGAAACAATTCCACGACTGAGGGTGGAACAAAAATGACATTCATCGAGATCCCCTGAGAGCTGTGGGTTTGATTTCGTCTTCAGGTACTGACATTTCAGAGTAATATCCTATGCGTCCGGCAAGACGGAAGTGCTCCATACAGCCATAGAGGACCGAATGTGGACACTGTGACAACAGAAGTAATCTCACAGAAATTAGAAATGTCGCCTTTCAAAAGGCCTTTCATATTCCCTCTATTGTGAAGTATACGGAAGACCCGACTAGCACCCATGAAAGGTTAATTATATTTCACAGCAAAGAAAACCGTCTTAGGGCTTCTTTATTTCCCTCGTACTGGATTTTGCTCTATTTGTTCATTTACGCTTCATTCTATCTGCCCGGCCCATTGTTTTTGGAATACTTTTTCTGCGTCCATATGCATAAAGCGTCTGACGCATTTGACCGTAACTTGGAGCAAAACAACGGACTGGAGAGACGGGGACAGAGCGAGAGATAGGATGTGTTGCAGTGTGGGCGTTTTGGCTGAAATCTACC